CCAGCTTTAGAACCAAGGATGAGGACCGAGATTGAACTGTAATTTGAGACAAGGAGGAGTAGCAATGTCTAACTCACCTTCTTCCTCTTCCTCCTCTTCATCTTCCTCCTCATCATCTTCCTCCTCATCCTCATCTTCCTCATCCTCAGAATCTTCCTGGGCAACCTTTGCTGGTGTGCCTTTTTTGGGTGTAGGTTTTGTAAGCACAACTTTCTTTCCTTTTGCTGGTGTGGTGTCCATGAGTTCATCTTCTGACTCTGAAACAACAATAACATTGTCTTTTGATGCACTATCCACAACTTACAGCATCAGTTGACTAATGGTGAAAATGGCTATGGGGCCCAACACATCAGCTTGTATTGGAGACATCACAAAATCAGTATTAAGTCCCAATAATCATCTTTTGTGCTGTTGTCAAGCCACAAGAAAGTCATCTCCCTGATTAGCTCCTTCCCAGGATTTGGACATTCCCTTGAGTCAAAACATGCTATGAACTCATGAGGCCGTTTTGTATGTTCAGTCCTACACCAGCAAAGACTGCCTACGAGACCACACCACTTTTGAAGTACTGGTCCTGCTTTTCCAACCCAGTGTTTTTATTTTTGGCAACTGTAAGACCGAAGGCTTAGGTTCCTATGCATTTCTCTTGGAATGAAGTTGACTTACCATCATCTTCATCATCATCATCATCTTCATCCTCCTCCTCCTCCTCATCTTCAGACTCTTGCTTAGCTGCTTTAGCAACCACAGTGGCCACAGGTTTTTTGGCAGGTTTTTTTACTGGTATAGCAGGCTCCTCCTCAGACTCATCTGTAGCAAATGAAAAATGTACCACTGTCAATTAGCAAATTAGTCTTGGAGTGGCTACATTTAAAATGCCTACTGCGCCCCCTTCTTACACAACAAGGTGCCGGAAAGCACTGTTCCTGAACTGTCAACTTAAAGGTAAGCTTTAAGTGGAAGAGCTTGTTTTGAAAATCTATAGGTAATGAAATATGAGGGGCGTCACAGACCCTATCAGCCATTTGAGAAATTTCAAGAGACTTAACACAGAGCCACTGACATTGTCATTTCTGCCAAGCATTCTAGTTGCGAATTATCTGATTTCTACTGCAAAAGGTAGGAAGGTTTCAAAATGAATAGCACTATTGAGTGTGCACAACTGTACTGGCTATCCCACCCAATTCACCTTCTTCCTCACTATCTTCCTCCTCCTCTTCCTCGTCATCTTCATCCTCTTCCTCATCTTCACTCTCCTCTTTCTTGGCGTTTTTTCCATTTTTCGCTCCTTTGGCAGGGACTGGAGTCTTCTTTGCTGGAGTAACAACAGCTCCTTTCTTTGCTGGAGTAACAGCTGCTTTTTTGGCTGGGGTAGGCGTTGCTTTCTTGCCAGGTGTTGCTGCCTTTTTGTTGGGCGTAACTGCTGCTGCTTTTGCTGGGGTGATCACTTTCTTCTGAGGAACCATCTGCAGGAAGAGAATTTATGATTGTTTATAGCAGGCAAATGTGATCAAGCAGGAAAATGGAGAATACAGATGCAATCCATGCCCCCTTATCTGAGCCAAAACCGCAGAATCTGTTTCTGGACAAACATACTTAGGACTGTATGTTGAAGACCTTTATATACCAGGATTTTGCTGTATAGCATAAATACCAAATAGTTACAAAGCATCATTAGATGAAAAGATCAAGTAATGAGAATGATGCTTAATAAGACAAATGTATTGGGAAATCTTTACTTTTGCCCATAGTACATATTCTCCTGGAATCTTTTCTTCTTCTGTCTTCCCAAACATGACTTTTCACCCCATGAGCAATTCATACACGTGACCCATTTCCACCCTTCACCCTGCCTTTATTGACTAGTGATGAAAATGTGTGGTCAGGTAGATATTTGTTGGGACTGTAATAACCACCATCCCTCACCATTAGCTGTTGCCTAGATTTTATGGAAGCTATGGTCCAGCAGCATCTAGAAGAACATGTATTCCCTTCCCCCCGCCCTATTACAACCCATCATAAGAAATAGGACTTATTCCTACTAGTGACCTGCACACTGTCAATGTTCAAATCTGCAGTGGAGAGCCAAAACGGCTTTAGGCATTCACTTTTATGTTTAAACCCCCTTATGACAATAGCAAGGCTAAATGTGTCACATGAGCGAGTAACAGTGGCTGCTCTTCTGTATAAACCAGCTTTATACATGGTCCACATTTTCAGTATGCCTCCCTGTTTTCTGGGTGGTGGTGGTGGTGGGGGGTCCTCTGCAAGCATGGGTCCAAACACACTGCAGAAATAATCCAATTTGAGATTGCTCTAACTGCCCTGGCTCTATGCTAGGGAATTCTGGGAACTATCATTTTGTTAGATTTAGCGTTCTGTCAGAGAATTCTGGTGCCACAATAAACTAATTCCCTAGCACTGAGCCAGGGCAGTTAAAGCAATCTCAAACTAGATTTCTCCAGTGTGCTTTGGACCATGGTTAGAAGTATCCACACTACATGTGTGGATAGTTTACAGAAATCACTTGTCACAATGATGCACCCAAGACACCATTTTCCTATTCTTGTTGTGCTTCAAGACAACTTATGCCAACCTTACATAGGATTTTCTTGACAAGATTTATTCAGAGGTTTGCCACTGCCATCTTCTGAGGCTGAGACTTGTCCTAAGGTGGCTAGTGGGTTTCTTCAGCTCAACAGGGAACTGAACCCTGATCTCCCAGAGTCCAAGTTGAGTCTTCGTTGCAAATTCAAAGTGCTACCCCACACTGGCCCTCACTGTTCCTGTGCCAACAGCAATTATGCTATTAAACTAGCCATTGTAACTAGCCTTTGCAACTAAGGTGCAAGCAGTTATGTAAACAATTCTCACCTCTTCCTCACTGCTGTCGTCCTCTTCAGAAGAGTCGTCTTCTTCTTCACTGTCATCAACTTCCTTTGCAGGAAGGGGAGCCATTTTTTTCTGTTTTGGCTGAGTTTTAGCATTCTAGGGGATAAAAGCCACACGTAAGCTATATGCTTTTGGCAGTACTCATTGTGCTATGGTCAGGGAAGGAACCCTGATATCAGGGATGAAGCTGGAGGTCAGTCAAACTATTTCTAACTCTGCAACACAACTCTGTAAAATAGCACATGCTTCAATATGCAACTTTAAAGCCCTTTTAAGAGACAGAGCTGTATCAGATGTATTTTTTTGGATCTAAGGACAAAGGAGAAATAATTTGTGTTATCTGACTCCTTGTCAATTTCAAGCACACTGTAATAACCTTGAAAGTAAATTACAACCATTTATTTATTTATTTACCCCGCTCTTCAGCCACAAAGGCTCTAGGAGTGGCTTACAAAATACAAATAGTTAATTAGACGTTTCCCTGTCCTCAGGCTTACAATCTAACAAGACATGACACAAAAGAAAAAAACATTTCCCACTGATTCCTGTTAGCAAGAATATTTCTTTCTTTAGGGCTAGAAAGCCGCCCCCCCCCCCCCCCCCCCCCCCCCGTTTGCAGACCCTCCAATCAGTTGCTAATACACCAATTAAAGAACATTGCTTTGAACTCCTGGTGGATCAAGAGACAATGAATTATTTAAATAATAAACTGCCTTATACATATTTTTTGTGAGAAAAAACAATTGTCAAGATTTTGAGAAATGGGACCAAGCAGATGGCTTCTCTACGTTCAGTTACTGAACAGAAAGCATGTTTGCGCTATTCATTTCAATGGGCCACATTGTAAAGAACATATATCTGCATTACTCAAACCTTTAGGTTTTTCTTGCACAAGTTTCAGTTAAGATCCCATCCCCACAAAGTGCCAAAACATGGGTGCTTAGCTGCTCCACATCAGACCCCCCCCAACACTGCTGCTTTGCCCTTAGGATCACAAACCAACTGAAAGTGTGAAGATCCACTGGAAGGAGCTCATGTCTTCCAAGTCACCAGTCGACCCCATTAATTCCACAAGGTCTTCTTAGACGAGGAATCCGCAGAGGTGGTTCTGCCAGTCCCTGCCTCTCAAATTAGCTTTCAGCATCTGCTATTCATTGATGGCCTCTCATCCAAGTATTAACTAGGGCTGACCCTGCTTAGCATCCAAGATCAGATGAGATCTGGTGCCTTTAGAGTATTTATGGACACACACACAGCAAAATACCATGTGCAGCTGTAATTAACAAATACATGCATATTGCAGGTCATCAGACTCCTCTCTCTCATTAGCTTAGTCTGCCAAGGAAAAAGGCTAACATTTCAAGAGCTGAAGAAGAGTGTATAAACCACACACCTGGAAGGCTTGCACTTGACAAAGGTGGCCATTTTTGTGTTTTAACATGAGGAAGTTGGGTGACAGAACAGAACACATGCTTTCACTTGCAGTAAATCCAATCGCCTGCAAGACTGTGTTAAAGAGCTTTCCCTGGCTCTGATTGGGAGGACCTGTTGTCAGGACTGGCTAAGAAGGGACTGCGGTCCCCTTTAACTGACCAGGGAAGGATTGGTGGCTCAATGCAGTGCTGAGCACATGCAGCGAATCCCCCTTTCCCCATGAGGAGAGGGGCAGGAGGGGCAGGACTTCCCTAAAGGCCAGGCGGGTGAGAAGAGCGGGAACAGAATCCCCCTAGAAAAGCCTATGATTTGAGGCAAGCTTTGCCTGCATGCGTTGATGGGCAAGCAGCTTTCATCACCCCTCCACTACCTGAGGTGCTCTCCCTTCCTCCCCAGCAACTCAGAAATGCGGAAATAACCCAGTTGGGGCACTGCTTTAACTGTCATGGCTCCATCCTATGGAATCCTGGGATTTGTAGTTTGTTGAAGCACCAAAGTTCTCTCAGAGAAGGCTAAATGTTTTGTGGTGTTCCTTTAAGTTGTTTCTGATTTATGGCAACCCCAAGGCAGACCTATTATGGGTTTTTCTTAGCAAGATTTGCTCAGAGGTTTGACATCACCGTCCTCCACGGCTGAGTGGATGTGACCTGCCCAATGTCGCCCAGTGGGTTTCATGGCCAAGCTGGGAATTGAATCCTGGCCTACAGAGTTGCAATCTAAGTCACAAACCACTATGCCACACTGGCTCTCTGAAGCTGAGAGAGCATGGGTTTTGATGGCTGAGCAGGGATTTGAACCCCAGTCTTCAGAGTCGCACTCAAATAACGGCAGCTTTACAAAACTACTAAAACTGTGAGACTCCATAGCACTGAGCCACAGCGGTTAAAATGGTGTTGAAGTGATTTAACTACCCAGTGCAGATGCAGCCTAGGGAAGAAAGATCCAACAAGAGGAAAAGGGGTATGCACACAAAATAGCCATAGCACTTTCACATTTTTTATACAGCTTCATAGCAAACTAAGTGTTCATAGTGTATAGAGTCTAGGCAGTTTACAATGTATCAGTCAAAATGGTGAAACAGAATACACCTGCCCCTCCACATTTTGCAGCTTTGATTATTCATGGATTAATATGTTCTCTCTAGGAATATCTCGAAGTCCTCCAGTGCAATTCTATGGTTAACTTTAACCAAAAGTCACACTGAAGGACCAAGAGGTTCCTAGAGAGAATGGTCCACTGGGCATTTGTAGCTCCTCCAGCGCAATTCTATGGTCAAAGTCTGGCAGACGTTGACCAGAGTTGCACTGGAGGACCTAGAGATTCCTAGAGAGGCGTTCTCTCAGGTGAAAACCTAAGTGTTTTTGGCATTTGTGGTTTTTCCACATTCACTGGGGCCCTGTGACCATAAGTCTAGTGAATGTGGAAGGACGAGTTTAGCACTCTTACATTTCTATACCCAGCTCCATTGGACATGGCC